TCCATGTTTTACTATAATACTTCAGTCTGTATCAATCCAGATATGACGCTATATATATTCTTAATGTGATTGTAAAGATACACCTAGCTCTAGAATTCCATGTTTTACTATAATACTTCAGTCTGTATCAATCCAGATTTGGCGCTATATATATTCTTCAATGTGATTGCAAAGATACACCTAGCTCTAGAATTCCATGTTTTATTATAATACTTCAGTCTGTATCAATCCAGATATGACGCTATATATATTCTTTAATGTGTATTGTACAGATACAACTCGCTCTAGAACTCCGTGTTTTACAATAATACTTCAGTCTGTATCAATCCAGATATGATATGACGCTATATGTATTCTTCAATGTGTATTGTACAGATACAACTAGCTCTAGAATTCCATGTTTTAATATAATACTTCAGTCTGTATCAATCAAGATATGATGCTATATGTATTCCTTAATGTGTATTGTACAGATACAACTAGCTCTAGAATTCCATGTTTTATTATAATACTTCAGTCTGTATTAATCTTGATACGATGCTATGTATTCCTTAATGTGCATCGTAAAGATACAACTCGCTAGTGCGATCAATAATACTCAATCTGTATATATATATATATAAGTATGTTCAGGTTTACAAATATGGGGTTTAGTACTCTATTTATGACAGTCATACAGGAATATATTTTAATATATTTTAATCGAAATGTACAATGCAATTCAATTTAACTTTAACAATTGCACAGTAATTTTATACAAAATTCAGCGAATAAACCCCAAAAATATTGGCAAATATATCTAAATAAATGTCGTGTTTTAAGGGTTAATAAACATATAAATGAATAAACTTTTACAGTGAGACCCGGCTATGTATGGTTTTGGAATAGGAAGACGACTTTTATTCTCATTCTTCTAAATCGCCCAATGAATACAAGTTGGGCAGTGTCCATATCAGGCCCGTTTCACTTAATTATTTGATTTTCAACCTACCATGGTAGAAACTATTTTCAGCAATTCATGAAAATCTACACATGACATATTGCTTAACTGTCGTCTTCCTATTCCACAGTTTAATCTGTATCACTGTAGGTTTGGCTCTTAATTGATATTCATATCTCTAATTGAAAAATGAGATAGATAGAAAGATAGATGTTACCGCCATTCTATTTCTTTTGGTTCATAATAGACAACAAACACATGAATGAACCCTGATTGGATTAGGCGTTAATGGACTCGGCATACAGGAGTTATACAGGGTGTCCCAAAAAACATGGGAATTCAGTGACGAATTTGATATCGTCTTTGTTATGAATTAGCATTGTAATACCTAATTTCAAAAGCCATAATATTATTATGTCTGCTAAGAGTTTATTTTATGAAAAGGGAAAAAGACTGTAAAGATGTGTCTATAATGTCTCCGCAAGATGAACAGGGAAGACGGACAAGTTTACTCTGTTTGTATACTGCAATTTTCTTATTTTACTAAGTACAACTGTATGCAGTCAAAACATAAACAAACAAATTTTGAACATAGCAGACGAAACTCTTACAGATTACAGCTTTCTCAGTAGGTATCACTCAAAGAATTTTTTGAAAAGACGATATCGAATTCGTCACTGAATTCCCATGTTTATAGATATTATAGATAAGAATTTATAATAAGGCTTAAATATGAATATTAAAAATGAACTCGATTAAATTATGGCAATTTTTTCATGCCCGTAGCTAGGGTGGAGCACATTATCTGAGGCAACGGAGGAGAGAATGAAGAAATGAAAAGAAGGAAACCAAAAGTGAAAGAAAGAAAAAAGGAATAAAATAGGAAATAAATCTATTTTTTGTTTAAGTGTGTGCTTAAGGTAATTTTTTATTCGAATTTTAAAAAAAATTAGTTATTTTCTGAAAAAAAAATATTTGGCAATTTTCATTTAATAATAGGGTTTGACCTAATTTCTTGCACGATACGATTTTATCCTTTTTTCTTCTGTAATAAGTTAATGATTTTTATTTTGGAGAAGAGAGTCACAATATTGAGACAAACTTAATCTACAGAATTTACCTATTCTTTTACTAAACAGAATATCTGTTCTGCTAACAGAGTTTTATGATGAACTAGTTTAGGAACCCAGCTTTGCCTGGAAACTGCAAACTTTCTCTTTAAAGTTAATTACTGGCCATTCGACTTTGAACTTTTAAACCAGGCTTAGAACATTTGCCGTGGTTCTATACTGTGGTCTTCAATCAAAATTGAAGGCAAATCAGTCCAGGGGGAACAGTATGGAAACTCAGCGATGCCCAGATTACTTGAATTATAGTTACTCTAGCCGTTCACCCGCGCTTGGGTTTAAACTACGATTTTAGCTATTTTTTCCATATAAAAGTCAGTTAACAGCATCTTTATGTAAAATATTTATCTTAAATATAATCATATTATAATGATTGTTTAAATTCATTTTTTTTTGTCTTGAAATTCAATTAATTTTAACCTTTTCTTCTCAGGATCAGAAATTTTCAGGTAAAGATGTAGATTTAATTTAGAAATTTTCAACAATTTTCCTGAAGTGAAACAAATGGATAAATAACTGGAATTTTTTAAAAACATTTTTTACCATTTATACTTTTTTCTTATAATGTCATAATTTCCAGCTCATTGTCTCGAAGATAATACGTGCCTCCTTTTGCTTAGGATGGAATTTGGAGGGCGCATGCCCCTACCCCCCCCCCATCCTCGCCAATCAAATTGGCGATCAAATAGACCCAAATCTAGGCATCGATCAAGCGGGTAGGGAGGGGGACTATAGATTCTCCCCATCCCCTTGCAACGTATTACTGCAACTAGGAAGAACTGTTGTAAATATAACGACGACAATCTATACATTAAATATGTTTCTAGTGATATCCGCTCTATCCGTTAGTATTGAATTATAATATAACCGGAGGGTACCAGGGTACCAAATTCCGATTGAGTCGGTCTGCAGATGCTAAATAATTATCAAAGATCACGAAACCTCGACTATACACGCAACTCTTTGAGGTGGAACAAACAGGAGAAAGCGGGCGGAAGAAAAAGAAGAACATTTTCTCTATAGAACATGGCGAGGAATCAGGCGCGTACACAGGGTGGGGGGGGCATCGGGTAGTTGTACTTTTGCCCCACCTTGAGATTTATGCGGCAAAGGTTATAATTAGTTGTGGTGGGAAAAAAAAGAGCTTGCCCTCTGCATATCAATTCAAGGGGTGTTTTCCCCCTTAAAAGATAGTTGAACATTTTCTTGGCGCTGGTGGCTTCACCATTTAATTTCAAATTTTACCTTAGTATTTCCCCTTTATCCAAAATCTCCTCCTCCCCCCAATTTGATAAAGAATTTTAGCTCTTTATGCATTATATGCATTAATTGGAATTGGGAAAGGGATTAATTGGGAAAATAAGAGGACGGAGGACTAATGATCGTCTTTAGGAGACTATTCAGGACTTCAGAGAGTATAATACAGAACAGAAGGAAACATTATGATATATAATCCTTGAATCGGGACTTATACAGTGAACTAATTAATGGGCAGTAGTCTCAGGAGACTGTACTCATGAGGACTTCAAAGATTATAACAGAACTACAGATTGATACGTATAATTGTAAAGTCCTCCAATTGGGACAACAATGGGCTATATAGGGGACATGTGAAAGACAATTGATATAGAATAATAGCAGTTTTAAGGCCAGAGCAAGGAGGGGGGCAAAAAAATTCTGCGCTTCGTGCCGTGCTTCTGGCAGACTAAAATCCTATGTACACGCCTATGAGGAATCTATAGGGAGGAGGGTAGAGATGAGAGGAAGATTCAGGGGGAGGGCATATACCTATATGAAGAATTGAGCTGGTCCCCCTTGAAAATGAGATGCATACGTGCAGCTCTTAAGGTAAAATTGAACCTATCAGGGGGGACTATGTGGGGAATGTGGGATTAGCCGCCCCCGTGAAAAAAGCTGTTTTAATTTTCAGCGCAAAACCGGCGGGGGGGGGATGCTTTATCTGGTGTCACGTGATAAAGTGTCGGGCCTGAAATAATGCCCGGGTACTGTGTTTAGGTCGTAAACATTAAATTAAAAATATCTAATTATAATAAATAGATTCGTTTACATTTTAAACGACTAATCTGTACATAACTTTTGAATGAGCCCGGGATAAAAGTTAATTTATCAATGTTTTTAAATTCTTTGAAAAGAAGACGACATTCGAGACGAAGTATATTGTTTAAAGATATTTTGTGGTATTGCAATATTTAAAAACTTATTTAACTATACGATTACGTTCAGCAGATATTTATCAATGCATCCATAATTTGATATTGAGGGGGGGGGGGGAGTGTCCAATGATCAAGAAGTGACCCTCTGGCCTCTACTTGGACGACCTGGACATTATTTCACGTCCGGACACATGAAACTGACCAATGTACAATTGACTCCTTTCAAACATTTGAATATTTTTAAAAGCCCTAAAATGCTGATCAGATGAACAGATATATCGTGAAAAAACATCTACAGTAAAAAGTAAATCAAATTGTGTAATTTAACTTTACACTAGTGGTTTGCACGCATAAAACTAAAAAATGAAACTTATTCCAAAACAATAACAATTTAAGCTATCCAAAAGAGCAGTTACACATTTGTAATTGTGACAGATTTGATTTAGTATAGGAAAGATTAAGCATAAATTAAGCATTATCCTAAGTTAAAGAGTATATGTTATTAGGTCAAGTAAAAATAATTAGAAAATGCTTTAGGCCAATATTTTTTGCGTCTTGTCACACAAGTTAGGTGGACAATTCTTAGGAGGGATTAAAACAATTAGTAAGGCTAAAAAGGTTAGCGATTTAGCCTGACAGTTCAAATGTGTGGACCAGAGGCAATATAATTTGTTTTAATTTCAGGCGAGATTTCGGGGATACAGATATGTTTTGTGAGAAATTATTTAACTTTGTTCAGAAAGTTGTGCCATGAATAAAAAACATTGAAAATACAAATAAAAGCAAAGGATTGGAAATCTAAAGGTTGGCATAAGATAATCTTCAAATATATATGAATACACTACGAGTATATTTGTTTTCAAATAAAAAAACGAACAAAGCCAGGTTTAAAATTTAAATAGAAGATAAATTCCATTTTTGATCAAGAAAAAGAAGTGAAAAATAAGTAACAATTCAAGTTCACACTTACTACGAATATTTAATAATTGTGTAAAAATAATTACATTTAGAAACATTAATCATATTTATTTGAGATCAATTAATATACGTTTCATAAATCATATTTAAGAATCAACAAAATTCTGCATTTCTATTTACAATTAAGGAACTGAACTGTTTTTATTTAAAGCTGCACATGACGGTAAGATGTAGATCAGCAATGATTATAAATTTTTGGTAACATTATCTAAAATATTGTTGATGATGATGTTTGAGGTATTCAAATATTTATCTTGAAGATCACATGTTGCATTGGATGAATTTATACAAATTTAACAGTCAAAACCTTTTCTACGTGACCTTAAAAAAGATTGGCATGTCTTGAACATTAACGGAACCCTTTGAATCTTTCTTGAATTTAACTAATTGAAATATCCTGGTTTTTTTTGTCTGAGAATTGATCGTAATTTGTCAACAATTATTATCAGTTTCCTAACGAAAGCAACAAAGAAAAAAATGGACAAAATTTACTTATCTTCCTCCTTGCTTTGTTCCTCAAATAAAGGTTTAAAATCTGCTAGGCATCATTATGAACGGAGGGTCCCTTAAAATTATGAACGGAGGGTCCCTTAAAATTAAAGTCCTTTTAATTACAGGTTTACTGCTGTAATTTCACAAGATTAAATTCAACCATGTATATATATGCATTTTTGTGATGTATGGCTTTCCATGTAAGCTTATGTACAGACTTTCAGTACATGAACATATACCGTACATATGTACATTATAAATATCACTGCTGAGTTTAATATTCACTGGTAATTGTGCAGGTTCAACTTGGTTCCTTCCCTATCAGGAAAGTGTGCATAAAAGCGCATGAAGAGCAGTTCTAGGGCGCACAGTCTTCCGGAATATATCATGCTTCTTCGATAAACCATCCAGGATAAATTCATAACCAGGTCTAGACACAACAAGATAAATTGATGACCAGGTCTAGATACAACAAGATAATTTGATAACCAGGTCTAGACACAACAAGATAATTTGATAACCAGGTCTAGATACAACAAGATAAATTGATAACCAGGTCTACATACAACAAGATAAATTGATAACCAGGTCTACATACAACAAGATAAATTGATAAACAGGTCTAGATACAACTAGATAAATTAATAACCAGGTCTAAATATAACAAGATAAATTGATAACCAGTCTAGATATAAAAGAATAAATTGATAACCAGGTCTAGATAAAACAAGATAAATTGATAATCAGGTCTATGTATAACAAGACAAATTGATAACCAGGTCTAGAAATTTAAGGATAAATTGATAACCAGGTCTATATGCAACAGAAGAAATTAATAACTATGTACAGATATAACATGATAACTAGATTAATAACCAGGTCTAGATATAACAAGATAAATAGCTTGATAACCAGGTCTAGAACAAGATAAATAGCTTGATAACCAGGTCTAGAACAAGATAAATAGCTAGATAACCAGGTCTAGATATAACAAGATAAATTGGCTTGATACACAGGTCTAGATATAAAAATAAAAGATTATTATCAAACGGTACAAACCATTAAAAGTCAAGACGATTTAAAACTTTCTCTTATTATTGAAACCAAAAAATATTTGTAAACTAATTAAATAAAAGAGGATCTCAAAGCGAGCTGTGGTTATATATTGACCTGAGAAGTCCTGTGTCAGGATCAAGAGTTGTTTTATCTCCTAATTCCTGAAAACACAACATTTTTTCATTTCAAGGGTTTAAACATGGGAATTATGTAGGGCGTCTTGGATCTCTGTCGCATTTTTCTTCGCATATTATTAAAACTATTTAACGTCAAAAAAATGATTTTGGAAACTCCTCGTTTTGAGATTTATAAAATGTAGGTTTCCATTCTTAAAATGAAATAATATTTATATTTTTCCTTTTACAAATTCTGACCGTCAATTGGGCAAATAGCAATGAAGGTAGACAAAATAGGGAAAAGCCTGTAAAATTAAGACTTACTTTCTAGTCTTTCCTTGATTATCATGTTTATTATGACACCTTGATAAATGTATCTTCATATTTCGGTTGTATAATTCTAAACGCCAAATAAGCATACTTTAAATATTAAAAAAGTGCCACAAGACGAATGAATTGTGTGAGTTCATTCTTTGATTATTATGAAATGAAAAATTTATTTTATCGAAAATGCCAATCTCCTTGAACAAAAAAATTATTATTTAAATTAAAAGTAACATTCTATTCAGAAAAAAACTCATAAGCAATTCAGAAATCGACATATCATAAACGAGTTTTCAATTTTATTGAGAAATTTTAGTCAACAATAGAAACCACTGAATATCGGTTTTTTTTAAAGTTTGTCTTGAGACCAAAGAAAACCTTTTGAAGCCAAGATTAGTTGATGCTTTATTGGAGTTGAATCTTTGCCACTAACTCTAATTTTCTAATCCGTTTATATTTGCAATATCATAGACCTTAGATATTTCAGACATATGAATTCTGATAGATAAAATAATTTAGGTTTGAAAGATCAGGTTGCAAAAATTTACATGGATTAGAAAATTATAGTTTGTGGGAAAAAATCGGTTGCTTTAAATTTCACAACTTTTTGAGTAAGCTCGTTATATTTTATTTCCTACATTCTGTGCAACAAAAAAAAATAAAAAAATAAAAGAATATGCATCACACATAAACTACTATGCTGTACACATTTAATACCATTTTTACAACAAGCTGGTTCTTACCTTACAATGCTGTTCCAATGCTTTCCTGTTCAGTTGTCCTGCTAGAGCTAGACAATAAAATAGTAAATATTAAAGGAACACCAAACGTAATTTCAAGTGACCCATGACTCACATAGGTACCCTTTAAAGATTTGAATAATCATGAATGAAAGAAATACCCTAAATTGTTTATAATTTTTTTTAAGTGAAAATGGTTTTGTTTTAAAATTTATCGAAGCGGGTTTATTCTGTAGAAATAATGAAGAAAATTGTCATTAGTTTGTCTACACATTTAAGATTCTTTGACTCTAAGTAGACTCCATAAAAACTTGGTGCAGTTAAAATTAAATAAAAAGAATATTCTCTTAAAGTTTTTGTTATTAAATTATACATAATATTGTCTCTGACAGAAGATATAAGCCTAAACGAAGAAAAACCAATTGTTCGTTTAACAAACTATTTGAAAAATACTTTAAACTCTATTTTTACACTGTGAGGTTTGGAGGCTGGAGCATCATCAACGCCGAGTTTTAAATATTATATCTTTTTTCAAAGTCAATATTTTGCAGTATTAGAAAAACTAACTTTAAGGGCAAACAATTTCAAAATATTCTAAACTTAGATTTTTGAGTCTCCTTAAAGTCAAAAAAAACTTTGTAATGTTTAAAGGAAATAAAAGGATCCCAACTATTGAAAGGGTACCAGTACACCAATAAACAAATACAATACTATTTGGAATGTTTTTGATAAGAAAAAACAACCGTTACCCCAAAAATATAATTTTTCTTAAAAGATTTGTTCAACAAAAAACTTCTTTGACCTAAGTTTTTCAAAAAAAATAGATCTTCTGATGTTCCCAACTTTGATCTGCAAGGCAGAAATAGAAAGAAAAAAGAATGAAGGAGAAATTTATAAACTTTTAAAAATAAAATTGAGATTTTACAAGATTCGGAGATAATTGAAAAATTGGACTTTTACTGACAAGTTCTGTTATTTTTGATACTTATGTCCAATAAATTCAATTTTTCTGAAAATTCGGGGGGGGGGGGCTTTTCTAAATAATGAAAAGATATGAAAGTCCCGATAAGACCTTTTAACTACTTCAGAGATCAGATTTAATGAAAAGCGAGAAGTAGCTGAACTACTCTTGTGAGCCGGTTCAAGCTAAAGATATGTGGTTGAACGTTTAAGCGGTTCAACCAAGTCTCAGCAGTTTTACCTATATTATATCCTCCTGGAGGTTTGGCAATAAACCTCTCTCCGACCTCAACCATCAGGTTTATACAATCTTCTATATCCTCCTCAGCCAGGCTAAATATCTAGGATATCATTATACTATATATATCCAATATATCAGGTTTATACAATCTTCTACATCCTCCTCAGCCAGGCTAAATATCTAGGATATCATTATTCTATATATATCCTATATATCAGGTTTATACAATCTTCTATATCCTTCTCAGTCAGGTTAAATATCTAGGATATCATTATTCTATATATATCCTATATATCAGGTTTATACAATCCTCTATATCCTTCTCAGCCAGGCTAAATATCTAGGATATCATTCATCTTGTATTAAGGACCGTCAAGGTTGCCAAATATATGTCGTATTTATTAATTTTGAAAATTCATGTATAATACCAGAATAATCCGCAAAAATGAATAAAAATGGTGAATTTCAGAGCAACTGATAAGCTAAAATTGTTAAGGAAATGGGGCGAAAAACGCTCTTAAAAGCAGATTATCTTAAAAAGGAACTGATTACTCACCTCAAGTCTAATTCTAACTACTATACTATACTAACTATATCTTTGTGATGTTAATATGAATTCTGTTAGATCAAATACTCAAAGTTTAACAAATCAAATATTTACACCATCATGTTGTGAAGATAAAGTGACTGGAGAATTTGAGTGAGAGGCTAATGATCAGTTTCTTAAATGTTTTTACAAAAATCAAACAATTTAAGATTCAAAGCCAATACTCTTAATTAGAAATCATATTTTTTAAGTCATGAAAATCGTAAAAAAAACTTTCTTCAAAACTTGAAAATCATTTTTTAAACTATTGCATTTATGCTAAATTTTAATTCAGGAAAATGTGAAATTTAATTAAATGAAAGATTGTGAGTCCAGATTATTTAAATGAAACTAATTGTAGAACTTTGTATGTTTGGTTGAATTCAGGTTTTCTCATACTTTAATGTGTTAATGTTTGAAAACTTCCAAATAGTTTCTTAACATTTTTTTTGAGAGTTATTCAATGGAATGGGGGTATATTTTTTGTTATCTCAAATAAAAAAGCCATTCCTCTTTGGGAGACCCCCCCCCCCGCCGACTTTTCAATGGTATTTTTTTCGCCTATGTAAATTTACGAAATTTATTTGGGTTGTTTCATAAAAACGATAAACTAATGTCCCATGTTCTTTTTTCCCCGAGGTAATTTTGATTAAGAAAAAATATGATTTGCGAATAAAAGTTCTCAATTACCTTATTGCAAATTATCACATAGTCAAGCCACTGCTCAAACTTCTTTTTGAGGTCAATATTTGTGCTCTTGTTGTTATCCAGCTTTATCCTCAGGAACTCACGGAACGCGTCCAACACTTCCGGATCTTCCAATGTAGCGTTTAAATCTGTGACGCTCACACCTTTCAAATCCGCCATTTTGAATTTGTACTGTACAGTGTACACCACTGTAAACTTGTTTTTTTTCACTCTAGTTCACATTTTGACTGGTCTTCAACAGTTGTTGTTGTTCTAACTGCTTTTCTACATCATGTTTTCTGAATGTGAAGAAATATTTGTTGATATGCATTCGTTGAAATTTGAAATATTTGAAATATTAAATATTGCGGATTTATGTGAATTCTTATCAGGGATTAGTCAGTTTCAAGATTTCAAAATATGTTTAGTTTAATCATGTTATCTTGGAATATTCGTGTTTACTTCTATACATGACAGAATTATCAGGCAGTGGGTGCATCAGCTGTTCAGGCACTACTACTGCCTGTATATACAGGTATATATATGTATATAGAAAACAGGATAGATAGATAGATATTGTATAACACCGGCTGAGCTTAAATCAGGGAATATAAGACAATATAATATACAGATACAGAGAAAATTAGAAAATCAGTGGCGGCTTTGGAAATTTGGGGGATTTCCTCCCCCCCCCTCTTTTAAAAAATCAGACACAATCATAGGAAGAAAGAAGCTTTTGGCTCCCCTCCTTAAAGAACGTTCACGAAAAACGAAAGGGGGTATAGGCTAACGTCGCAAATCGAATTCGATGGTGATCGCTACTAATCTTATTTCTATCTGTTACGTCTGAAAGGAGAAAATGGTTAAACACGACTCATACCGAAGAAGGTTAGTGTCCATACAAAGTCACGGAATTGCAATATTCTTCACAGATCATAAATAATTTTATATTTAATTTCAAATTTAACGGAATTAATTACGATCTGAGTGGAATAATGCAATTTTGTGAATTTTTATGGACGCTACGTTCTTCGATAGGAGTTGCTCCTATGTAACTGCAGATATAAATAAGATTAGTAGCAATCACCATCGAATTCGATTCGACGTTAGCCTATACCACCTTTCATTTTCCACTAAACACTCCCTTTAAATAAGATTTTTTATAATGAATTTTAAAAAAATCATAATCAGATGTATTAAAATAATATGTAGTTATCAAAATGTTAGTTTCCTAAAAAAATGTTCTTGATTATCAGACATGACAAAACTTTTGTATTTGAGTCCAGGAATCCAACAAAAAAATGTCTTCCTATTGTTAGGGCTGGGCACGTTTAAACTTTTTCAAACCGTGTCATTATCGGTGAGTTCCAACCGTTTTTAAGAAAAAATCTCAGGTAGCTGTTAGTTTTAAAGGTTAATTGTTTCGTTCGTCAACGGTATTTTCAAGTTTTTAAAAGTTAGCGTTAGTTAACGATCTCAATTTTATTAACAATGTTAACGGAAAATTTTCAACCACTATTAATGGCTCCAGCCATTAATGGTACCATTAATACAGAATTAACGGCGTTAACAGCCTGAAGCGTCAAAAAAATTGTTAACGGTAAAAGAAATCGTTAAAAGCACAACCGTTAACAGTCTATTATAGTATAAATGGCGCAAAGCACCGAAAAATAAATTTTGTTTATGGTTCATGAAATCGTTAATGGTTTTGAACACAGAAGATGATATTTAAAAAAATACGTTAAGAACTTTTTTTTTACAAGTTTCATGCAATTAATTAGCAGAAAAAATAAATTCACCATTAAAAAAATCCGTTTTGGTTTTCTTTTCAACCGTAAATTTTTTTCAAAAACGGCTAATCCGTTTCGTAAATGATTTAAAAATTGACGGTTTTTGCCGTTCGTTAATGAACTCTTCCATTAATTTTCGAAAACCTACGTTACATTAACGTAACTTTGTCCAGTTCTACCTGGTATATTTAGTTTTAAAATAATATTATGCCAAACTATAATATGGGCGGAGTAAACAGACTAGACAGAGTTAGAGTGACAATAACATACTTCAAACATATTATTAATATATTATTATTATGTATAGTATAATATATTGCATGAATAATGATAAATGATTATATGTAATTATTCTAAGGGGAAAATACTAATAAACCATTATGCAAGAAAAATTACAGGACTTCATATTTTTTAAGAATTAATTCGAAATGAGTTTCAAAGATTTGGGAAGAAAAGTAAAAAATTAAACATTTTATCAATTCTTAATATACTTACATGAGACAGAATTTAAGAAAACAGCACACTAATAGTATTTACATGTATACTACATGCTAGTTAACATGGATATTGGATACTAATAAACATTAGGAAACATGGATATTGGATACCAGTTAACATTGATATTGAATACTAGTAAACAATGATGTTGGATAATAATAAACATGGATATGGGATACTAGTAAACATAAGGGAACATGGATATTGGATACTAGCAAACATGGATATTGGATACTAGTAAACATGGATATTGGATACTAATATACATTGATATTGGATAAAAGGGAAAATGGATATTGGATACCAGTTAACATTGATATTGGATACTAGTAAACATGGATATTGGATACTAATATACATTGATATTGGATAATAGTAAACATGGATATGGGATACTAGTAAACATAAGGGAACATGGATATTGGATACTAGTAAACGTGGATATTGGATACTAATATACATTGATATTGGATAATAGGGAACATGGATATTGGATCATAAGGGAACATGGATATTGGATACTAGTAAACGTGGATATTGGATACTAATATACATTGATATTGGATAATAGGGAACATGGATATTGGATACCAGTTAACATTGATATTGGATACTAGTAAACATGGATATTGGATACTAATATACATTGATATTGGATACCAGTTAACATTGATATTGGATACCAGTTAACATTGATATTGAATACTAGTAAACATTGATATTGGATACTAGTAAACATAGATATGGGATACTAGTATAAATAAGGGAACATGGATATTGGATACTAGTAAACATGGATATTGGGTACTAATATACATTGATATTGGATAATAGGGAACATGGATATTGGATACCAGTTAACATGGATATTGAATACTAGTAAACATTGATATTGGATACTAATATACATTGATATTGGATAATAGTAAACATAGATATCGGATACTAGTATAATATATGAATACCACCCCGCAGTCATGCTATTTTGTAGTGTACAACAAAGTATGACTGTACCATCGATCAGTTGTATAATCTAAAGATAGAGATGCATCTCAAATGGATGCTAAAGCTTATTTAATACTAATCTAATAAGAAAGAAATCTAACTAAAATGAGTACATGTGTACATGTGTAGTGTGTACATGTGTAATGTATAAGTATGTAATGTGTACATGTGTAATGTGTACATGTGCAATGTGTACATGTGCAAAGTGTACATGTGCAAAGTGTACATGTGCAATGTGTACATGTGCAATGTGTACATGTGCAAAGTGTACATGTGTAATGTGTACATGTGCAATGTGTACATGTGCAATGTGTACAAGTGTAATGTGTACAAGTGTAATGTGTACAAGTGTAATGAGTACATGTGTAATGTGAACAAGTGTAATGGGTACATGTGTAATTAGAACATGTGTAATGTGTAATGTGTACATGTGTACATGTGTACATGTGTAGTGCAGAACAGGTTATCACGAACTGGAGAGTGGACCATGGAGGTTGTTTACATTCTTGAAAATTGTTGAATCTGCATAAATAGAGGATATTCCTTAGTTTACATAATATCGATCCAAACCTTTCATTCAGACTCCAGCCACTTAAACTACATACAGTGGGATTTAAAGGGTAAAATCTCTAAAAATGCATCTATGTAAAGGAATTTAAATCGAGTATTAAAAGTAATGCAATTTCATTCAAAACTTGGACTTGAAAAAATTCTTAATATATTTTAAAAAAGAGAATATCGATAAACTTTTAAAGTCAGATTACATTTTTTACTTTTATAGGCCTAATCTAATCATTAATTGGTCAATAGTCATGGGGTACAAGCACTTAAGATCATAAATTAAGTGCTGTAATAGCTTTCCGATTTTTTCTTCAGTTTTTTTAGAAGCTGCTTTGCTTTTTTACAACTTAAAAAAACTTCCTTCTTATTATATCTTGATGAATACTTAAGATACAAGATTATTTGGGTCTGTCCTAGAGAACGATTTTTGGATCCCCCCCCCTCATTTTGATGTAACCTAACCCTAAATAAATTATTTATTAATTGAAAATTGTTGAAAAAGTGGTTATGTACAAAATTGATAGGAGGGGGTCCAAAAATCGTTCTCTAGGAATATACCAAAGTATTGGAAAAAACGAAAAATAAGTAATACAACAGAGATATATAGGAGTCCTTAACATAGGTACTTGAAGTCCTAAACATAGATACATAGGTTTTTTAAGCATAGATAAAGAGGAGACCTNGTACAAAATTGAAAGGGGGGGGAGTCCAAAAATCGCTCTCTAGGAAATTACCGATTATTCGATTTAATATATTAACCTTAATTTTTTAACTTAAATCTTTTTATTCTTATAAGGTACATACATTTCATGTACATTTTTTTAATGAAGAGGGCGGGGAACCAAAACTCCTTCCCTAGGAAATTACCTTTCACCCGCACTTAAAAGCTCGATGAATGGAGTGGAGTCTCTTATATATTTAAATACTTATTTTTTGCCATGATGGCATACCCGTGGAACCTGTATCACAACTCACATTCACCTTGTGAATAACATCTGCAAAATAAATACGTGCGTACAAGTGTACTGAATTTATTTGAAAGTTACTTCAGTTTCATTGTGCTCAATAAACTCGCATAGATAGGGTACAACAAGGAGAATTGAATACAAGGAGGGGGCGATAAGGTTTCCATACACTTTTCTGTGACGTTTTTGGACTGCTGAAGAACTAGTATTTGCGTATCAACAATAATAAAGATTGTAAGCAATAACACAAATGATAAACAGACATCTGGCGCATCTCTGGCGTTAGAATTTAGATGAAGATTCACCGTATACTAACATTACATTAGAGCTTGTTCAAAGAATTGTAACTACTGAGGATCGTCATGATAGACGTGAAACATTATGTTAAGTATAATTCTTTTTTTAATAAAAATGTGAAGTTAAAAACTGATATATATATCCATAGACACAGGGTTTCGTCCTATTAGGACTCATCAGTATGGCTCTATTCATCAGATTTGATTTTGCAGTTGACGGGGCTTGAACCATGAATCTTTAGATTATGAATACTGCTCCATCAAATCCTGATGATTGGGTAGTGAAATAGAGACCAGAGAGCTCAACCAACAATATATATATCCAATATCCAAAAATAACAAAAATTAAGATTATTCTTTCAAACAAGAATTATATCTTAATTGTCAAATCAAGCATTTATCTACATAATAAAAGCTCTTCGCTAATATAGATTTATGTATTATTATATTAAGTATGTATTATATACATTTATTGTATAATTTATGTATAATTATTAGCTTACAGCTGACCAAACGGCTGGACCAAAATGACTGAATTTTATTTTGGAAACCCATTCGAAACCTGTGAGTTAAAAAAAGGCTAAAATATTCAATTTTTTTTTTCAAAAATCGAAATTTTTTTCAAAATTCGATTTTTTTAAACCCACGGGCAACACTGGGCACTTCAGCTAGCGCTTTTATAAATCATAAACGGATATTTTAGCTCTTAATGAAAAAAAACACCACTTATTTGACACTCCTGGCATACAATTTGTTTTTATAACCCAAATGAAAAGTTTTATTTAAAGTACAACTACAGTTAAGGAAATAAAAATTTAGAAAAATGTACAGGCCAAACTGTAGCTCTAGGCCAAAGAGACAATATATTGAAAAATGTGTTCCTAAACAACTTATTAGTTTACTGTAGCATTTGTGTTACCTTTTTCTTCGGCGTTATTAAATAGTTTTTAATAAACCGATTCTTAAAATGTAACCTCCAAGATGAACAATCTGGGAGAATTTAAAAGATCGAGTTTGCGCATTTACTTAGCAATTATGCACCGTAAAAACGTCTTAATGAATCTTAAAATTTTTCTCTATAAAACTGCACTCTCAACTCAACCACCATCATGCCTAGCAAGTCACTCCCTTTCAGTAACCATAAAAAGCCTAAATGTTTAAAAATCGGATATTAACGATAATAACAATGCCCAACTCTATTTTCCTCTAATTTTTTAATATTTGAGAAATTAAAGGAGGGAAAAGCAAACTAGATGTTGTAGGTCGTATCATGATTGGTTGTATTAATTTCTTTTGAAATAACTTTGTTTAATTTGATTTTGAAAGCTATACTTTTTTTAAACTGCTGTTATTATGCATTTATAATATGTGTTTAAAGACAAAAACAAAGATAAATTTACAAATTTATGCAAGCTCTTAAATGCGCATTGTCTTGTTATAATTTTGGAAACTTTAAATGCGTATAAGTTATCAAGTGACCGATATTTTAAGGGAGAGAAGGGGGGGGGGTACTTAATCTTCCAGTAGTGTTGAGGGAGGGTAAAGGGGGGGGGTTGATTTGAATTTCTTGGATTTAGCACAATAAGAATATTTAGTTATCTCTCACCATTTTAACGGGTTCAATGTTAAAGAACTAAACACCTGCCTCAAAGTATAGTTTTCTAGTCCCTACTATTTTGCAACCTGGTATAATTTACCTAAGTCATATGCAGTGATAATCAAAAAACTCTGGAATAGTCGAAGTCGACTTTTAGACTCAATTTATGACTTTCAATATAGTAAATTGAACATGAGATGATGATGCAATGCACATCAACTTTGCAGTGGAAATAACCCCATTTCACTTAATAGCTGATATAAATAACTTACTATAGTTAAGTTATTAGGTTAAGTTATTTCAAATATTGATATTCTTAGTTTATTAAAAATGTCCTTTTAACTCAGAAATTAAAATGTGGGGTATTTATGGAACATCAAGGGAAGATGAGAATATTGTTAAAATCCAGAGTACAATAGGTTCTCAACTTGGTAACAATAAACAGGTAAAACAAGGTAAATAAAGAAATGGAGTCTTTGCCACAAACTCAAATTTTCTAAGCCATTTATCTTTGCAATCTGATGATGTAAACATTTAATATTTCTAACTTATATGATTTGGTCTAACAAGAACTCATAGTTTGAAATATATAAGATCATACAACATTGGATTGGAAAGATATAGAAATTAGAAAATCAGAGTTTGTGACGAAGACTCCATTCCTTTAATCATCATTAAAGGAAAAGTTTACCTAGTTTACCTATTTGAAAATATACATAATATCTTGGCTTTTGATTTAAGAAAACAGCTAAGCAAAGAACCAGTCATATGAAGTCCCTGAGGCCCAGAATCATTTCTGTGATAAAAATTAATATTTTTTCTGTAAAATTCATAAAGTTACTGGTAGGTTTGTAGAGAATATAGTAACTGATCCAGTCACCACTCACCAGTCAATCTTGCATATAAATATACTATTTTTTTCTCGCAGGCACACTTGTAAAACTCGTAATTATGACAAAATTCCTAATCTAAACAGCACTTCAGCATAGTTTTAAAATTGTTTAACCATCCTTTTTATCATAAAACTAATTTTTCAATCAAGTCCTAATGAACAATTAGTTACAACTCAACACCTCAGAAGACACCTTTGAATGGCATCCTTAATTGAAGTTTATTTAAAGCCCATCTTGCATATAAATATACAATTTTTCTTCTAAAATTCTTAATTACGACCAGAATACTTAGTTAAACGGTACTTCAGCATAGTTTTTAAATTTTTAAACGTTCTCTTTAATAAAAAACAAGCTTTAAATCTTTTTTTATATAAAAGCTTACAGTGGAGGGTCAGCCCCGTTAAATTTTATAGATTTAACAAAGCTTAATTTTACATTTTTATTTTTAAAACGGTTGTAATGTTCCCTTTTATAAAGAATAAAAAATGTTCTTACAGCAATTAATCCATTATAAAATATCAACTAATTTTAAATGTATTCAGTTGTTCAAAGATGGCGGAGCCGGAGAAATTGCCTTGAAACGAATGCATGATTTGGCTCGCCTGGAATATATCGAGGATAGAACTAAGGCGGTGCATGAAGGTCATTTGGGCCTTCAATTACAAGGTCAACAGGGCCTTCAAGCACAAGGTCAAGCAGAGGCAGAGGAGAACGCAAAAATACAAGATATAGGTCAGAAATACTTTGTGTTAAAGGGACTCATACCGTCAAATTTCTGTAAGTGATTGATAATTAACATTGGACACGTTCGAATTTTGTAAGCAGTTTGTTAACTGATGTACGTTAATATAAAAAATCGACCGTTACCAACTTTTCAGTAAGCCATTCGTTCTTAGCTCAGTTCTGAATGATTCGTGATCGTTAACGTCAATTTTCCAAAACTTACCGTTCGTTAAGAAAACATTGCCCAGCCTTTCATATTATTCATTATTTGAAGTTAGGCAGACAAAGAAGCTAATTTTTAAAGGTGTGTCTGAGGATCAAAATAATCGAAAAGTCTAATTAATTTTTGTAAATTTCGTAAACTTTATTAATATTTTTTGTTTAATTTTAATTCATTAAATAGTATAAGTTATTTTAAAAAGATCTATTCTAAAATTTAGCACATTGTGCTGGCAGTTGGCACATGTATTGAAGTCGGCTGTATGGAGAAAATATCATTTATATATTTTTCTTTAGTTAAAGCTGTGAGAGTTGTAGAAACTCTGCACAATGATGGAGTTCGATGGAGCCCAGAAAGTGACAAAGGAATGAATATCAGAAAAAAAACAAAATTTAAAAATCTAAATCTTAAACTATCAGGGACAAGTAAAGGGACTAGTAAAGATTGGCCAAACCTTTAAAAATAATATTTTCGTACTGTTCAGCGTCTAATTAAGAAAAGACAATATGATTTTTAGGTTTTAACTTTTGGGGGATTAACTAAGAAGAATAAGTCCTAATAACAGGGAGGATAAGAAATTTATAGTCGCTCTAGAGGGAGGATAAGAAACTATCCTCCCTCTGAAATTCAAGTTGCTCAACAAATGTCAGTAAAACTAAGATCAGTTATTTCGTTGATCGGGAGAATAAAATCACAAAATCAAACTTATTTCACCTTTTTTTTAACAACCTAGAAATGTTACCATGAATAAACATTTAAAAACATGAAATCAGCAATTTTCTATTCCTGTCATATCAGTCAACGGTATAAATTCTTTAAATTAAAAAAACATTGAAGGGACTAAATACGTGATTTTAAACGACTCCCCATTTATAGAGTGGCATATTCGATTCACTACGATAGCCTTGACAGAATGAAACGCTTCTCAAGTGTGAAAATTGATTGTACATTTGACAATATTGATTAGTCAAGGGTTCAAAGGCACTGTTGGGATTCGACCATGTCCCTGAGGGTAGCTGAGGGTCAATGGAAATTATAACAAAAGTCTCTTAAACTCAAATGCATATTTGAAAGTTTCTGGTGTTAACAGGGTATGAATTGAGAAGAAGACGACCTTACCAGACTGAAACATCGAAAATAAATGTTTTGAATGGTTCTATCACATGCACTACACTGGTTGATGATGATAAAATAGATAAAGATGAATTAGAAACAGCTGACATTGACCTAATATCAACTGATGCAGAATCAGCTGAAAAATCCGCAAAATTGAAATCAACAGACGGTGATATTGCTAAACCAGACGAAACTGATCTTGAAGATCAACAAATTCCAAATCATCTTCTTGGAAAAGGTGAAAACGGTTCCAATTCATCAATTTTAAAATCTAGCTTCGATCTGGCAGCAAATGCAGTTACAAAATTGTTAAATCAAGTTTGGAGGCTCAAAAATGTGTTTACATAGTATAGTATATCGAACAGGCATTTATTTTCATATTTTGATAATCTATTCAAATTATTTTCATGCATGATTTTAGAATGTCTATTTACGCATGTAATACATAAAAAAAACTATTTTAACAATTTTGTTATTGTTTCTGATGAAAATAAATTTGTTTAAACCATGCTGGAATCTTCACTTTCTGAGCTGCTACCTAAAATAATAAAGAAAAAACTATTATTAGGAAATTTATAGCTTTGGGTGGTTAAGATGCAACCAATAGTAATTCACAGTTAAGTCCTGTTCATTTTAGAAACCGCACCGACATCGATCTTACCAGCTAGAGCTAGCTGTACAGTACACATACAGAATATATTAGGCAAAAGCGGGACGGTACACCAAATGAACCAACCCCTTCTAGAGAAGTTCTTGTAATTTATATACCATAAAATTTGGCTTGTTCCTGTCTTGGTTTGTTTTATCCAATAAACGCCAAAACTGCTAAACCGATCGGGCCCAATTTTTATTCATTATTCCAAGAAAAGTTTAGTACATCCATGAAAACGAAAAAGTCCAATTTTAAAAAATTATATTTTTACAATTTTGCGCAATCCATATTTTACATCAACGTTTTTTAAATATGTATTAGTAGAATAGATGATCAGGACACACAATGAGCTAGACAGAAAAGAAGTTAAAATTTATTCGACTTAGAGACCTTGTAGCTCTTTTAGTTTTGATTTTATGCACGAGTTTTAGAAATACAAATTTATTCGTTTACATTTTAGAAATTCAAACATATTTATAGCTCGTCATAAAAAGGAGTTTTGATCAAAAAAATATAAGATACAAATCTGACGTGAAACTTATGAAGTGAACTTGTTTTTTACCTGATAATACTATTGTAGAACTGCTGGAATCCAGGAAAACGTTGTCATCGTCATCTTTGAAATCAAGGTCATATTCTTCATGATCCTTATAATCAGGAACATCATGTGCATCATCCAGTGCATCTTCATAATCTAGTTCTTCTTGATCATGACGACCATCTCTATATTTAGACGAGGGCATTGTTTTATTTAAGTTCTCTGCCGAATGGTATTCTCTCTGAAAAATGATTACGTTATGGTATTCTCGCTGAAAAATGGTTACGTTATGGTATTATCTCTAAAAAATGATTACGCTATGGTATTCTCTCTGAAAAATGATTACATTATGATATTCTCTCTGAAAAATAATTACATTATGGTATTCTCTCTGAAAACTGATTATGTTATGGTATTCTCTCTAAAAAATGATTACGGTATGGTATTCTCTCTGAAAAATGATTACGCTAGGGTATTCTCTCTGAAAAATGATTTCATTATGGTATTCTCTCTGAAAAATGATTACGATACCTTTGTCTTAGCAAAACTATTTTTTATTTGAAATTTGATAATTTTTATCGCGGTTCTCTGTAAGGTACAAAAGTTGAGGCACTTTAAGTCTTCTGATTAGAAAAGCGTCGATGTTTTGTCATTGCAGATCCAATAAACGACTCTAACAGGGTTATCGTTGTGAATGAGACAATTAACACTCTATATTTAGAGTCTACAGTCCCTTTCAGGCTCTGCACCGTTTTGAAAGGACCGTGAATATTATTTTTAAAACCTTTCATTGAATATTTACAATCCATGAGTTCTCTTTGAAAACTATAAACCTTTGACACATGATTTAAATCCTAAACAAAGTTTGGTCAGTTCTCTTAATTCTCTTTAACATTTCATAGTGAGATGAGTCACAGAGTATATCTGTATTCTTCACCTGTCTAATATATATCTGTATTCTTCACCTGTCTAATATATCTGTATTCTTCACCTGTCTAATATATCTGTATTCTTCACCTGTCTAATATATCTGTATTCTTC